ATGCGACAATGTGTGACTTTGATGGAGTTGCTGCATGCTTCGGCGACCGCTGTGGCGGGGATCAAAGAATGATTTTTATCCGGGTTGGCAAAAGCAGTTCTGGCCTTTCAGATTCGTGCGTTTACTTTGTGGTGGCTAACAGCTCTAAGGAGTCTCTAATAAACAGAATGAAATACTAATGTAAGTTAGATATTATGTCACAAGGAAATCCAAGGAAATCTTGTCTCACTTGACAAGGGGAAGTCCTGCAGGTCCGTATTCCGCTGAACCACCACACCAGGAAGTGAAGGCCCTACTTTCCCAGTATTCCACCACTCCGACCGGCACAAGATTAAAGCACTGATATGAATAAATTGGCCTAGTGTTTGCAGGTCAAATTTTTTCACGTTGGGAATTAGTGCTAGCTAATATTATTTAACCACCAGTCACAATAACAATCATTCAGTAAAGGGCGCAAGGTCTAGTTAAGCCCAAGAATTAAGGACCTGTCGTGTGTTTCGTTAAACTAAATTTTGTACAATAATTTGACTAATATTGACAGCAAGAAGCGACGTGATATCGGGCAGAAGAAATAGCGGTTTACACGTCCTGCGGAACTCCCCCTGGGGTGATCACGGCGCTCGAAAAAGAAATGCGCCACAATGGTTAGTGGTTAAAACCTACGCGAAGTTGTTGATGTCGACCAAACCTTGTAAGTGAGGGTGTGTGCTGTGTTGGTCGAAGGAGAGTTCGTATTACTATGCGGCTGTGTAACGGAGGGGTACATAGTAGGTTCATCATCTAGCGAGACGGCTCAGTGACGAGCGCGGATTTACTGACCGGAAGGTCCATGGTTCGAACTCCACCTTTGCCTCTCGACATACCCTGCCTAGGCTTTGGCAACATGGCACTATCCCATTTCTCGTGCTTCTTTCTCGTGGCATGGCAGCTAGGCACCGAAAGAGTGCTACAGCTGAACGATTCGATTTCATCATCTGGAGGTGGTTATATATGTACGTAAGGGACCTTCAACCGATCGATGCTGTTTTTGCGGCCTTTACGATCAGTGGCGAAAGGTCCTTCGTATGCCAGCCGTAAGGGATTTCTAATCGAATCGTTGCGCACATGAGCAATCACATGTAGGAAGATTGGGATTGGACTTGGAGGTTTGTCGAGTTGGTGGGGGACGGATGTGTTGGCGAAGCAGAAAAGCGCAGGATTTGGGATCTGTTACACCAGTACTTGAAAATTCTACAATCATTTCATCCGGGAGGTGTAAGCTTTTGGCGTTACTGCAACTTCCGTGCACTTGTAGCGTTCCAACACCTCCTTTGTCTCTCCTGGAGATCTTGGACACTGTCAAATACTATGCCATGCAGCATAACTGCCCTTTGTGGGCGCCAATAATAACCTGACTTCCGTCAGGTTTTCAAATAATAGTTTCTCCTTTCGCTAACTCTCAGACATGTGAACAATATCGTCTGTATATCTCAGGTCGGCAAGGTTCTGGTTGAGAGATCTGAACACCATGGTCTTCAGGATTTCCAGCAGTCACATCGTTTCCGCATCAATGACGAAGGCAAATAGAAATAGAGAGAATAGGCATCCTTTTCGGACGCCCCCGTTTTTAAAAACTGTTTTTGGAGAGCTGGCCATACATTTGCCCTCTTATTTCCACGGAATTACGAACAGCACATGGTATTGACACACTCCTGGTCCGCACATCATCTTTCCATCCGTAGTCCTGCTTACTTTTCTTGTGTTCCATCTTCACGTACCTTCGTAAGATGACGTCAGATAAGCGAGGCAGGGTCTTGTTAAAGTGGGGGTTAAGCCAATTTTTCCGCGATTATCATGCATTGCGAGAAACATTCGCTAGTGGGCACCAACGTCGACTTAGCTTAGTTAGTTGGGACGGTCTTTATCCCAGATAGAGGCAAACAATCTAGACAAGCATCAACAGGGGATTTCACCACCTTTGGACAGAGCGGGTGGGGCCTTGTCAGGACCGGTAGCTGAGCAGCGTTTGAGGGATGAATGAGAAAGATGGATTTTATCAAGAACTACCACGTGTGCTTTGGTCAGCAAGAGGGATGAATATCCTAATCCTTGTGGGTTATATCAATGCCCAGTTTGGACGAATAAATCCTGGAGAAACCCAGTTAGTTGGTAGATCCAGGGTCGATGCTCGGCGTACGATAATAGAGAGCGACTGCCCCAATCATGTGCTAATCATTGTCTATTCCTGGCCAGTACGAATTTCCAACACAAGCTTTCACATCGAGTTACTTGGAGGCCACCTACAACAAGACAGCCATGGACTCAGTCGCACCATGTGGTTGTCAGTTACCAACGGAGAGCCTCAGTTAAGGATTGTCGTTCCTTCTGGGCTACGCATCTTGACTCTGATACTGCCATTGTGCGAGCCCGGTTATCACTTGGCTTTCCGGCAGCACCACGTGTGACAAGGCAGAGCAGTTCCATTCGTCGACTTCGGCAAGTTTCAATAGCTGAAGACTGTCGAGCTGATCTGGCTAGAAAGCTACCGGGAAGGCGCGATTATGCTGATAAGGAAGATTGTATAGAAGTTGAATGGAAGCGGTTTAAAGGAGCTATGTTCTCAGCTTTCCGAACTGTTTGTCCGGGCCGTCCGACTCGAATGAATGAGCACTGGATGTCATCGAGATCAGCAGATCTTACTGCTAACAGGAAGGCCATCCCGGGAAATAGCGCCTGTGATGACGCACGCAGTCCCCTCAAACCCCAGATGATCAGGAGTTTGAAGAATAACAGGGGGTGCTGATGGATTTTGAAGGCCTAGGGGCTGGAGAGGGCTTTCGCCGTAGGCAACAGCCACGCCCCATTTCAACTGATTTGCTCAACCGGTCCGAAGGTGACAAGTGTCAGCGAACTGATATGTGAAAACGACGTAACTGTAATTTAATCCCCAATCGTCCTCTTGAGCGCTGGGACGAGCTCTTCAGAAAACGTTTCGTTTGGTCTCCTTCAACGCAATCGCTGGAGGCACCCAGCGGGTCTGTATGGAACATCGACACCAACTAGCCACCAGCAACTGAAATTTAGTGTGTAATATCAATCCTCAAGCGCGACAAGGCACTTGGTTCGGATGTTCTACACCCCGCACTCTCCAGAGAATGTGGCGGGGTCTTGGTGAACAGTCTGGCAACCAGTCTATCGATCATCAGAAACTCTGGCAGAGTATGATGATTCAAGGTGTCTCTTCCAAAGTTACATCCCTTATGAGGACACTATGCGAACTCCTGTGGGCTCGTACGTGTATACAGCAAGCTTTCGCCTGTGTTCACTACGTTTAGTAGTGTGAGATAAGACTTCCCTCTCACGTTTTCACTTCAATTCAATTATTAATGTGCTTCTTGAAATTTCTCTTCTTGCCTTTGAAATCCTAGTGGCTTAAATGCTTCTGGACACACTCACGGACATTGCGTGTGCGGGCGATACTGCTCTTCTTGGCTGAGGTCTTTCCAAACCAATTTTAATAACCTGAAAAACTTTACCACACGGTCTGGCGTATGCTTGGCATCTGCAAAGTGTAAAGTTCTGCTGCTAGACTTAGTGTGACCTGGGGGCGAGATGGCTCAGTGATTACTGACTGGAAGGTTCGTGGTTCGAACGCGACCTCTGTATCCTGACTTCCCCTGTCTAGGCATGGGCAACCTGGTAGTATCCCAGTTCTCGTGCCTCCTTTGGGTGGTATGGCAGTTAGACACCGAAAGGGCGCCACAGATGAATTACTTGGTGGGATCAAACGCAAGCTTCACGCTTGCACACGGGGCAATCGACGAAATAGACATTTGTTACCTGGGAAGTTCCTGGACTGGCTAGAGATGAGATTCTTTTTGTAAGGCAGGAGTGCACGCGGATCCCACTACCCCGCACGTCTTTAGGCGCTGCTACGGCCGAGAAGCCTGCTGTTGCGGTCGGAATTTAGACGGCGGCAGTGCGATCGTTACTGCTTTATGCGCCAGAGACGCGGCCTCTATTCGCAGATGACATACCAAAGCTGTCAGTGTGTGAGTATTATTATCTTTGAAGCATCGGTCGGGTCTAGTGGGAACATCAGATTAGCAATGCTGAGCCACCCGTTTGCTTTCAGGAAGAACTCTCACAATAGATGAATTACTCACGATTCATGGGTTACGATGGTTAGGATATGTACTTCTCATGTCGGAAGACTTGCCTCACAGAGCTCTTCTCGCTCAGCCCTGTACTGAGTAGAGGCGATGGAGTAATGGACAGTGTGTAACCTAGCATTAAACTATGGGTGTTCCAGAACGAGTGGTCGTAGACAATTCACCCATTACACCTAACGGCGGTATGACCTATATGTGTTGGACGCTGGATCGCGTACGGGGCCTCCGTGAGGCTAAGCGGATTAGGTTGTTCCGGGATTTATTATTACGCAGATACCTTCGGTGATCATCATATAACTTCAGCATGCGTTCGCCAAAGTCCGTGCATGTCGATTCCCGTCCAAAGTAACCACCCTATGGGGGCCCAGAAACTCTAAGCTTGCCTCCTTGTGCATTAATAAAATATAAATAAATCGTTCAGCTGTAGCACCCTTTCGGTGCCTAGCTGCCATGCCACCAGAAGGAAGCACGAGGGCTGAGATACTGCCATTCGCCCAAGCCTAGACAGGAGAAGTAGAGAGCCAGAGGTTGGGTTCGAATCACGGGCCTTCCGGTCAGCAAATTCGCGCTCTAACCGCCTGGTCCATCTCGTCCTTGTGCATTACTATCGATATTATTGCAAACACAACTGATGACACCGTCCGACGACCACATGAAATTATTTCTGGTTGCGAATATCGTGGTTTTTCGCCAGTAGCTCAGTATTTCAGTATTCATACCCATCCACTGCTTTTTTCCTACCTTCCAGCGCTGTCGACTCTGCCAGTACACATTGGCCTTTCTTCAGTTGTATGTTTTATGCGATTCCCAACTACTTCGCTGGCACTTTAAGTTCACGTTAAAGTAGCCATGACGAGCAACCCGCCTAATTCGCAGGTTCATTCAACGGCGGGAGCTGTTCCCGTCAAGAATGAAAAAGGTAAATTCGATTCTCCAATTTTTCATGGTCTTCAATAGGGCAAATGTACATGTTGAAGGTTAAAGTGCAGCGCTATGTTGCCGGAAAAAAACCTGATTTTGCCTCTAGTTCAAGTTCAGAATCTGAACCAGAAATTTCTAACCAAAAGGCTGAGGAAATAAAAGCTTTCTCAGCACGTCAAGCTCTCGGAAAAAACAAAACTCGCGAACCAGACCGAGATGATGATGAGGCCCAATCCGGAGGTCTTACGGCCGTGGATCTCGAAGAACCGAGACTCCGACGGCTTTTGAAAGCCAAGGTAAGTTGAATTCGGTTGATCTCTTTTGTCGTTGTTGTGTGAATCGATTCGTTTTCAGGAGAGTTTCGGATGTATTGAATCTTAAAGATCTAGTTTAGATTGAATCAGCGAAGCTCAAGTGTCTACGAAGTTCCTTTCAAAGCCTTGTGCTTCAGATTTTTATCTCATGAGGGTTCACCTGCCGTAGTATGCACAACTATTCATTCGTTGATTTTGACATGCACGAAATTTCGTGACTGATAGCCTCGTTGCCTAATCGTCAGTCCCCAGTTTGCATTCCATGACCGCACACCACGAACCATCATAGTAGAATTTATGGCATATTCTTTCATTCATCGATTTGACATGCACGAAATTTCGTGACTGATAGCCTCGTTGCCTAATCGTCAGTCCCCAGTTTGCATTCCATGACCGCACACCACGAACCATCATAGTAGAATTTATGGCATATTCTTTATCCATTAGGCGTTATGGCAGATAGTCGTCCGGCTTCCCACGATGTGTAAAACTGCACACATTGATTTTAATCTCAATTAGTAGCCACTGAGACACAGGCAGATTGTTTCGTACAGAATCCCCACACAGCTCACCTTTTGGTTACTGTGATTATGATGTTGGTATATTGAACTTCGCTGGTGGTCCGGTGACTATGGTACTCACGAGTTGTTTGGTTTCAGTGGAATCTTCTATGAATGACCCCAGTCAGAGAAGATACAACAACATGCCCAGAACGGTATTTTCCCTCGGATTGTCTGCAGAATTGGTTTTGCACCACATAAACCAAGCTATACCAATCTCATTCCACCCTATCACCGTCATTATTTGCAGCATTGAGACTTTGGAGAACAAGGACCTCGAGCGTCTGTTAATTTGGGCAACAACGGATGGAAATAAAGGCATCTGGATATGGAACTTGTTCAGAAAGCTTCCATACAACGTTCTAAATATAAAGCACGATATCCTGAAGTAGGCCGACCAGTCTGTGGATAGAAGATTGTCAATGACTGATATATATCGACGCTTGAAGAAGTGGATTGAATTATCAGTGAAATCTGTGACCACGGCCGCTTCCCCGCTGATGTTGGAGCCAGGCCATTCATAGTTCCATGCCATGTCATTGGTTGATGCTCATGCATTCGTTCAGAATTTCGGATGTCACAAATGACGCAAGTTGGCCAACACTACCCGTGCCTTGCTTATCCGCCCACTGATTCAATTTATCACGACAAAATCATGAGATTATGCAGCTGTCGAGAGATGTGAACCGACCAAGAAATTCAAGTTCTCCATGTGAAGTACAAGATACTCCTGCAGTTTGAAGGGGAAAATATACCGAAAACTTGGTTCCTGTACACTATTGCCTTGACTGTGAAAGAGAAAAAGTGAAATAAAATCGTTCAGCTGTAGCATCCTTTCGGTGCCTAACTGCCATGAAACCAGAAGGAAACACGAGGGCTGGGATACTGCCAGGTTTCTCAAGCCTAGACAGGGAAAATCGAGAAGCAGAGGTCGCGTTCGAACCACGGACCTTCTGGCCAGTAAATTTACTCTCTAGCCACTTGAGCCATTTTGCCCTGACTGTGAAAGAGAATATTATGGACGCTCCTGATCATTTATGACAAGCACTCAACAGCGGGACTCTCGCGACGGAAACGTGCTGACAATCAAACTTGAACTATAATTGGCCAGCTTGTCTGGTGACTGGTGAAGCACATTGTTGGTCTTCTATCGAAGATATTTGGTATCTTACTAATGTCTCGTTGGACCAATTAACAGGTTAACTTCCCCTAGTTTTCCTCTTATAAGCGAAGATCGAGTGCGGGTAGGACACATTTTCCTGCCCACTCTGAGCGTACGTTAATTCCTGTTGATCATACTAATAGCTTATCTCAGTTTGTGTTGGCTGCAAGTTCTTTTTTTCGGTTAACTGAGTTAACTCGAAACATACTGTGCTGTGCCTCTTCGCTTGGAACCCATCTCGCATATATGTGTTGTTTTGTCTTTCAGCAATATTTATCAGAAAGTAGTGATGACGAGGACGCTGAAGACAAACTTGCTCGTCACAAGAAATATCGACGCCTGGGAGATCATGGGGAAGACAGTGCGCATGAGTCTGGGGAAGAACCTGATGACGAGGAAGATTTAGACGAGGCTGAGCTGGCACGCAGACGAGAGGTTTGCATCTTTTAATAGTGTTCCTCTTTTCTACTGATTGTGATTACACCGCATAATATGTTTATCCAACGTATTTTGAATGTAGTTTTAGTGACGCTGACTGTGGTTGGCATTTTCCGCGGTCCAGCTGAGCGTGTTCCGAGGGTGATGCAACGCACCACTCAAGCATATTAAGACGGCTTTTCTGGACTTGGTTTTATTGCTCCTGGTTAGGATAGTGGTACAGAATCCAGTACTTGTGCTAAACCAATTTGTCCAATAATATGTCGGGTAAAATCCTCTAGCCATCCTGTTGAACGTTCAACTGCAACACCCTTTCGGTGCCTAGCTGCCATGCCACTAGAAATAATGAGGCGAACACTAGACGGTCTTCAAAACCCCGGTGTTCAAATTGTTGCAGGCGAGAGCCTTGTCGATCTGGAGTACGCAGATGACATCACCCTCATCTTTGAAGACCTTAGTGAAGCACAAGCCCTGTTGAATAAACTGACCGCCGTCATACCATCATTTGGCATGCGCCTTGCACCTTCAAAGTGCAAAGTCCTGCTTCAGAACGTGCCATCTGCGAACATATCCCTTACAATTCAAGGAGAACCACTGGAGATTGTGGAAAACTTTACATACCTCGGTAGTTGTATTAGCTCTGCACCACGCGCCTACGGAACTCCATGAGGTTGCTTTCAGGCAGGTCGTACCATAGCATACATTAAGTGAAAAGTGACGCTAACCACCTTGGGGAGTGACCTAAGAAAAGGCTGCAAGCAAAAACGCCAGCTAGTTACATCATGGTATGCGAAATTCGCAGGGCCTAATGACAACCCTTTGACATTTATACTTTCTCGGCAAATCATGCCGTTGACATGAGTGGCTTTGAAAACAGACGTAACCGCTTCCCTGTAGGTCATTATTTCCATAAGTAATGGGTGGTAGTAGCTTGTCGCGCTGCTTCGAGAAGAGGGGCCTGTTTTTCAATTGACAGAATTTGAAACTCGTCAACACGTCTTCAGTTTTCCTGCATTTTTAGCTCATACGTCGGAAAGCTCTTGCTGCTCGCCAAGCAACCGAAGAAAAGGCTGAGGGAGGGTGGGCAGAAGAGGGAAACGAGGCCGAGGCAGATGACGAGGAGGAGTTGGAATACTCTGAAGAGGAATACACCAGCTCTGAGGATGAAATCGCGCCGAAATTGAAACCTGTCTTCGTCCGTGCCTGTGATCGGATCACATTGCAAGCCAAACACAAAGCCGATCAGTTGGCTGAGGAGGCTGAAGCAGAATCAAAGCGATTAGCGGAGGAACGAAGAAAGACTACTTTAAAGGTATTCACTTTGCACTGATTTTGTTCTATCTGTTCTTGCGTGTACGTATTCTCTTTAACTTTCCAGCAGCATGGCAGTGAACGGATTAGTGCTAGTCGGAGGGGTTGAGATACCAAGGTACAGTTATTCCCTGTTTAATACAGGACAATCTGGACTGTATGACAGAAAGTTGGCATAAGAATCGGGAGTCGTAAGAGTTGGAACGGGCTGTTTAGAAGGTCGATGTTATACCATAGTTATCTTCGTCGCTCTTAGGAACCTTAGTACCCGCGATTTCTTTTTTGCTTGTATTTCACTGGATTGCCGAGGGGTTGTGGCAAGCGCGGTTTTAATCCAACCGGGGGGCTCTTCAGGTGACAGTAGGTCTATCAGATAATCGTGTAACTACTCCTTGTACACTACTGGCCTGAGCATCACTCAGCGCCTCTGGTGAATTTAGTTTATTGGTTTGAACAGTGTCGACTGGCTGAGAAATCAGTCAGGCATGCTGACTGTTCGAATTTTCATTCTACCTGGTCAGCGTCTCTCGGTGACCGATAGCCAAGATGTCACGAAGTCGACATCCTTAGATTCACTTAGAGTAGCCAAAAAAGGCGAGAATGGCTATCGTCGAGAGAAAGGTCAATGTCATTCTTTCATTTGAACCTCATGTCAATGGCTTGGAAATTCTTATCCCCCGCGAAGATTAGTCGCCGGCGAAGGCTCTTCACGAGCTACCTGATGCAACCACCATCAGTCACATATACCATACATTGGAGTCTTTTGTTTGAAGTAACTTATTGCGAGCAAAATTGCGCGATTCTTCCGGCTAGGAGTCCTTCGCTATAAATTGCGTGCATATCTGCTCCAGATCAAAGGAGTTGGACCCAGAATTGCAATACGGTGTGCACGTTGAAGGTGAGGAAGAACAGAGGTTATGTGCCTATTCTCATTCTAATATTCTGTAGGTCCAACATACGGTTACATCACTTTCTTTTAAGAAATTTGAAGCATACAGTCACCTTTATCCATTTCATCAAGACTGTTAGGAGACCTAACTAACGAGACGTTAAAATTCCTCTTACTCTCATCAGCCGTCCACATGAAACGTACCTTATTAGGTTTATCACATAGCAACTACGGTTTGGAGAACCGCGTGAGGACGTTCAGCGGGAAGAAAATTATTGCCAAGGTGGACATGTTCTGAGTCAACGACTTTTGTACATTTAGAACCGACTCCCGGCATTGCCTCGCCGAGCGCTATCAACCGGGGTGTTTGACTGTGCACCCGAATAGCGAGTGATTGTGTGGAATGACCTGTGACTGTCAGACGTCTTTCAACGGGTACTGTGTTTCGAACTGTCGACTGACCACTGGCTATTTGTAGTCTCGTGGAGTGCCTCAGATATTTTGGAATATGTTCGCTGATTCTTGAGAGAGATAGTGATCTGTTCTGCCGCCGTTATGTATGTGTCGAATGCAGTTTTCCAAGACGTGGGAAGTTTTTGCACAGCCCAGTATGCGGGAGAGTTTGTGATCAAGTGAACTGTGCATTCCAAGAATTGGAACAGACTTATGCAGTTTTTGAGAACATGAAGTCAGTGGTTAAGGTGCGAAATTACTGATCAGAAGGTTGGGTTTGAACCCAACCTCGGCATCTCGACTGCTTCTGTCTAGGCTTGGTCAACCTGGCAACACCTTAGCCCTCGTGTTCCCTTCGAGTGGCATGGCAGCTAGGAACTAAAGGGTGTTACAGCTGAACGACTATTATTGTTTATTATTGTTACTATTATAAGTTTCGGAGCACCTCACTCGTTGGATTTCGAGTGTAAGGTGGATATGACCAGCTGAACGAGGCATTCGTTTGGGTCTCAGGGTAGTGAGTTTTTAAATGCACAAACGGGCTTATTATTTATTTGGAGGGATATATTGATTTCCAAATCTAGAGTTGAATCACCAGGCCTTATTGTTGCCGTACTATCGGATAATTCGACAATGGTCAGACTTCCCTTTCTTCTAGTTTTAATAATAAAAAGATGATTGTCCAGCCCTTTCTGTGCCATATGTAACCGCGTAAAACCGGAGTGACGTACGATTGTCCCTAGGTTTGTCAAAGTCACTACATCATCAATGGAAATCTGTCTTTAGAGACAAGTGTTTTTGAGTCCATTCGGAACTTCTGGATGTCCGGTAGTTCGCCACCAATGGTTGGTAGATGCGGTTTACAATGCTCGCAAGTAGATTAAATCTCTTACCGTACCTCCTTGACTGTCGTTGGACTGAATGTGCATGGTTTGGTCATGGGGCTGTAATTATCATTGTTGGATAGAATTTAATTGCACCTCTGGCCTAAATTGCTTCTGCTACCCAGACTGAGTCTAGTAGAATGTATTCGCTGTGTCCAGCACACCGGGTGCACGCTCGCCACCGATACTCGTTGCTGTTGCGAGCACAGACTCCTATCCAGTGGTCAACTGGCGTCTTCTGACTTAACTACGTATACATCGCAGCTGGGATTTGCGTTGGCTAGCCGCATAACAAACAGTTCTCCGACGTGTTGGTAACATTGAGCTGCCCTGAGGCAACGCATTTCGGCCAGTTTGACTGTATAGCCACGTTTTTGGGTTCCTACTTCCACACGGGTGTCCTCTCTCTTTCTTACAATCGGAGTAGAAAGCCGTTGAACCCACCCCTATGACCCGCTTTTCTCATGCTGAGAACCCATCAATCGATAATAAGTGATTAGCGCTCTTGAAGTTATTATTCCTCCACTTGCGGCTGAGATAGTGTAGTTATGTCACTATGCAGATGCGCATTGCCGTCTTCTCGAAAGGAGATTTGATGCTTTTGCGACAGGTGCGCTGGAAGCAGAGAAACAATTAGTTCCAGGTCCTATCTAAAGCACAGCCTCAAGTGTTGCTCCGTAAGGGTACCAGCAACTAGTCATACCCTTAATCCTTCACCTCATAATGGTCGTTTAGACATTCCGAGAGTACAAGTTCTATTACAAGGTAGCCGGCGCTCTCCTTAATGGACACGGGTGACGACCTGGGATTTCCAGTGGATTCGCTGTTAGATTCACCATCAGAGTGGTCGCTTCGTTCTCAAAGTCATAACTGATCTATGCCCGAGACTATGCTTTTGTAGATTCACACTTTACACTGTTATGCTTTCGAAGTTTCGGTTGAATTCACGTCCCAAACAGCCCGTTGGTAGTATACAGCTGTAGCATCTTTCTGCCAATTTTTTCTTTCCTTATTACTCCCACTTCCGAAGCTCTTAGAAAGTGAACTCCGACGTGAAGCAGAGGAAGTACATGCGATTGAAGACGCTCTGGACGCGTTGGATTCAGATGAGGGTCAAGGAAATCCTCATGCTGAGCAAGAAGAATACGAGAAGTGGAAAGTTCGGGAACTTAAACGTATTCGACGCGACCGCGAACAGCGCGAAGCTGCATTACAGGAGAAGAATGAGGTATAGTCACCTTTTTGCACTAGCATCAGTATGTGTACGTTTGGTCCAACGAACCACCAATTTGTGCCGTTTACATGTGATGGCTTCCTGGCTGGAACCTAGTCAGGTTGTGGTAGTTATGCTAACCAATCTAGATCGGACATAGTGTTGTACAATGTTCCATATTTTCTTCCTAACATAGTTCCAGTGTTCGCATGAGCTGGAGCTATTCTCTGTTAGAAATATTTGTCCGGTGTTTAGGAGTTTCTTACACGAACTTTCTCTCTATGACCCTGTCACACGTACGAAGAATTCACATTAACCGGGTTGATTGTGCCAGGCTTTTTTTTACACCTTCGAGTTGTTGAATCATTGGTTGATCCCTTGCTTACGTCTAGCATCATATGGTTTAATGTTGACAGGTCTGTCTGGCACAATACTTCTGAGGGTAGCAGACCATGGTTTGGAAAGTCTTTGACTTCTCTTGAGAAGTGACCTTTCCTCGCGAGGATTAGACGTCAAATAGCGATTAGTGGGGAATTTCACTGTGGTCCTCTCTTGGAAATTTACTGTAATTCTACAGAAATTCGACTTCTTGGATCGTATCAAGTTATGTTGCATATGAGCGACAGTTTTCTGTTAATCTTAGAAAACATCCTTTCAATATCCCCTACTTCAGTCCATCAGGGAAGCGTAAGGGAAGATGAGGAACGACTATCTGCCTAGTGGTAACGTGTTGCTCTAATTTATTTTGACCACAGACAGGCCATCCAGCCTTGGTCGCCATACGTTCACTTATTTACCCCAATTTTGTATCTCCAGATCGAACGTATCCGCCAGATGACAGATGAACAACGCCGCGAAGAATTTGCACGAAACCCTAAAAAGATTACAAACCAGGCCGTCAAGGGTCAGTACAAATTTCTTCAAAAGTATTATCATCGTGGAGCGTTCTTCGTCCACACCATGGAAGACGAAGTTTTCAAACGGGATTTTGCAGAGCCAACGCTGGAGGATAAGTTCGACAAGACCAAGCTCCCAGCAGTCATGCAGGTATGTGTCTGATGTCGAGAACACCTCTTGTATTTTACTCTTGATCACAACCCTAGGTAAAGTTGTTGCAGGCTCTCAGCCAACGCCCCGACATGCATGAGTTGTGCTTAAATCGGTTCGCTGGTAGCGGGAGATGTTCAGATAGGCTGTTTGCAGTGAAAAATATTTTAGTTTCCAACTTCCTCAGCTTCTCTGTCAAGGGTCGAGTTTACAATGCTGCGGTGCGCTCCGTATTACTATATGGATCAGAAACCTGGCCGCTGAATGCTGAGGACGTCAAAAGACTTTCAGTATTTGACCACCGATGTCTTCGGAGCATTGCCCGAATCTGGTGGGAACACCGGATCAGCAATGCTGAAGTACGTCGAATGGTATTCGGGAGGAATAACTCACCCTCGATAGATAAACTAATCACACTGCATAGGATGCGCTGGCTTGGCCACGTGCTGCGTATGTCAGTTCGACCGACTTCCTCGAAGGGCTCTTTTCGCACAACCACGTGAAGGGTGGAAGTGAGCCAGAGGCGGTCAAACAATGACTTGGAAGCGAAGTGTGAAGGCCATTACCAGCAAACTCAGCTGCACTGATCACTTCCGTCTTCCTGGATGGGGACCCCGAGACGGTCCACATAAATGGTTAGAGACATTGTCGGACATGGCCCAGTCGCGCCCTCAATGGAGCTCAATAGCTCCTCAATAGCTCTCTTCCCAACCCCGCACTTAACAGCCCACTGACAATGCTGGATTTATGCACCAATCTATCAGCTCTCGCCTCCAATGTGCAGCTACTTACCCCCCTCCTCCCAAAAATAATCATCGGTGAACGAAACTGCGGCAGCTACAACCACTGTACGACGAGTACGCGGTTATTACAGCTGACAATGATGATGAACTTCCTCAATCAAATCGGACCTATGCAGTGTGCGCAAGCCATGTGACTCAGTACAACCTGCTCTGTTCGTATGCTGTCAAGCGAAACTTCCATGGAGGGCTTCTCTCTATTTCTCCCTCTTTCCTCTAGGTCCTAGTGAGTTATTGGTGTTAGTAATCCACTCGACAATTTACCGGCTCAAAAACCGTCCGTGGTTCTGTTCTACCAGTCCCCTGTAATTAGCATAGTAGAGGCTCGTCGATCGTGGTGTTGTCACGTCTCGTATTGATGTTTCGACGATACTAGAGGATAAGGCGCTATTGGCATGTCCGCAATAAGCGGGAGATTGTAGGGCGAAAACACTTTGAAATACAGGTGAAGGCATGTGGTCGATTTAAGGCTCTTACCGTTAGGAGATTTCGGTATAAACGAGCATAGCCTAATAAGATTATATAGAGGGGCGAGATGGCTCAAGTGGTTAGAGCGCGAATTTACTGGCCGGAAGGTCCGTGGTTCGAACCCGACCTCCGCCACTCGACTTCCCCTATCTAGGCTTGGGCAACCTGACAGTATCCGAGCCCTCGTGCTTCCTTCGGGTGGCATAGCAGCTAGGCACCGAAGGGGCGCCAGCTGAACGTTATTATTATTAAGATTATATAGAACCAATGAACTTTGTTTTGAAGTGGAAATATCGGGATCAGATCAGTTGCATTCAATCACTTTATACGGTTTAGCTGTTGAGGCCAATGGTGAACTGATGTCCAAGCTCCATAAGAATGCTGAAAGCGTCATACTTGAAAACTTCTTTTGTCCATTCTTGGCATTTTTGATAACTTGGGATAGAGGTTCTCAATCTGGGTGTACCTTTTTCTCTTGTAGGTCAAAAACTTTGGTCGGGCTGGACGCACTAAATATACTCACTTGGTTGATCAGGACACAACTGCTTTTGAGTCACCCTGGTCGGTATCCAATTTACACAACATCAAGTTCCAGGCTGCTCACGGTGGTGGATTCAAACAGGTGTTCGACAAACCGATTGGTGGAAAACTGAAGAAAAAAACTGCATAAAATAGCTTTTTTCGGGACCTGTATATAGTATGCTGTCAACCTTTATCTTGTAAATCTTGTTCTTTCATATGGGTGCCTTTTTATTGCCTATCGATGAGTAATGAGAAAAACCAAAATGGCCCACCAGTGCCTCAGTCGGTACCCATCCTACTTATTACCGTCCATCCAGTAAACGAGAGTATATCAAATCACGGATGACAGTCAATAATAGTAGTGCCCGTCTTCGGAGAAGTGACTCACTGTGAGTGTTTTAACAGGGAATGTCAGTGTGATAACCTCCTTAACGAGATTCCCCCAAGGGTCAGCGAACTAATGATGCGAATATTATTCAAATCTTTGATGGTGGTAGTTCTGCTTACCTGGATTTTACAACCAATGCCGTTGTTACCCCCGGGACGAGCAGAAGAAGCTATTAGACTGGTCACCATCGTATCCTTCGGCATGCGGTTCAGATCTACTAGCATAGTCTCCAAACAGTCTCCCTACAGCCCGCGAGGCACACATCTCGGTAGTTGAAAGCGGTGATTCGATCTATCTTGTTCATACTTGTAACGAGCGCCATTTTTCCAAAAAAGGTCGAACAGCACGGAGGTAAGAACGGCCAATCTGTATCTACTTTGGCTTTCTTTTCAAATTGATTATATGCGGATTGAGCTTTTCTGGAAGACAACTACAAACCGAAAACCAGGTCAGCTGACACGGGTTGAAAACACCTATAAATGCATCTGCCAAACAATGGGCTTCCAAGCGTTTTTATAGGCTTTTGCAGTTGTATTAATAATTGGGATAATTTGTGATCACATGAACGATTCACGGTTAGGATGGGACGCGGGAGTACCCAAGGTTAGTAAGTTTTCGACACCGTAGAGATCAGGTGTACGACAAAACTTGAAGCTTCAGAGAACGATACTGTTACTTTGATACGAAAACGTACCATAATAATATTTGCAACTCGCGCGCAATTAGCCTCTGTACAAGCAACTATCCACTCTGAACTTCCTTTCACCTGAAAAGATGGCATGCGTTTTAATGATCTAATCTTCATCGTCCGAAGTGACTGCCAGATAATCTATCTGGTTTCAGAATTACTGTCTGGGTCTCACCTCAGCCGTCAATATGGGCTTCCGTCTCTTTGTAGCTGAAGTTAGCAAGCTTCTCTTTAAAAATATTTTCAACTTCGGGGGAAGTCAGAATGAGATTACCGGCCTGCCCGAAAAATTCACCGGGTCTAGCTGCAGTATTCGAGTGATCATGCTGTCTAGGATAAATCCTAGAGTCCAGTTGCAACAAAAATGCTTTCAGTTGGTAGCATGAACAGCTGATAGGTTACTCACACATTCTGCTAGGTTTGGTGGTAAACACAGTTCCACTCTTTTATCAGCCAAAGAATTCCGAAATTTCTGCACGTGCTGCTTTATGGTTTTGTTGACAACATTGATAGAATAACAGATGAATTTTGTCCCGCAAGTAACAAGCAAACGGACCTGAGGCTTCGTGGGCTGAAGGTCTAAACAGCGTGGCATCTACATGAACGACTCCTTGAGGTTTCAATTTTTGCCATACAGCTCAGGCCAACGGCAGTCGTTTGCGATTGAGCATTATAAACATCATTGCAAACCGTATCTGTTTGTTATTGTCGGCGTCAACTGGAAGCCTCACTTCTGAGCTCATCTCCGAAAGCCCCCTTAGATTGAAAAGCAATTTCTGCCAGCCAGAAGTAGTTTTCGCGGAAAACTCGATGGCTTTAACATTAGGCAATATGAAACCCAACGTCTCCCCGAATTTGATTAATTAGGGTACCCGATCGCTTAATTCTTACAAATGTTTGTATCACACACGTTCGCTTACATAAATAAACAGACTACTATCACTTGTGAGAGTTATCAACCATGTTTCCATTAGCCGTACGTGAATACAACTGTCGAGGTTGCTTCTTAAAATGCGCATGTTAACTCATCAGAACACACCTCAGGAAGACCGCGGACGTTTCACCTGTAATCCCATTACCAAAAGCGCAAGGGTCCTTTAATATCCCCGGGCAGCGGAACTAAGACGTCTTCAGGTGTTAGACAATCGTTGTCTCAGAACCATTGCTCGTGTGGGTCGGTGTATCCGTAACGAGGCAGTTAGAAAGCGAGTTTTCGGTTGTGTGACGGGTACTTCCATTGAAGAATGTGTCCAGCACCAGAAGCTGCGTTGGTTGGGACATGTGTTGCGAATGCCAGGAATGTGTCCGCACCAGAAGATGCGTTGGTTGGGACATGTGTTGCGAATGCCAGCAGTCGTTTGCCGTCTATGCTCGACTCAGAGTGACGGGAGCAGAAAGGTAGCCAACCCTTGACCTGGTGGAGGGGTATGAAAGAAATCACGAAACGTTTGGGTGCTGTTGGTGCTACTCGCCTTCCAGGATGGGGACCGCGTGATCCTCACTGCCCATGGTTTGGGACGCTGCAAGATAGCGAACACGTTGTGCAGTATGTCCGTCAAGCCGACTCTTGATAGGATGCCCAGACCCACGCAAGCCGAATGCTTCTATGTCAGCGTTCACACAGAAAGAAACGTTTACAACCTTCCGCCAACGAAACGGGTCAGTGTCTCATCCTCGGGCTATAGAAGGTGCGACCTCAAAAAGCTATAGGTTCAACAGACAAACGGAAAACTAGTTAGATATATGCAATTTACATTCCGGAGAGATTCTAGCATGCAAACACTGATTTTCCAGGCTGCTATGATATCTGCAGGTTTGCAACACTGGATTTGGATAACAGCTTTATTCTGTTGCTCAGTGTAATCCACGAATCCTTACTCGAGCCCTTAGTTACATTAACCCGAATGAATGCGGTGCTAAATTAGCAAGCCAACCTGACGATCGGATAAAGGAACTGAGTGGGGGTTTCTGGTAAGAAGCTTCATGTTTTTGATCCATCTGTTTTGCTAAGAAATTTTTTCACGTCATGGAGTCGGAAATATCTGGTAATATTAACTGATGAAAGTGCCTGTCGAAATTCACCTGCATCACTCGGATCCTTTTCGAATTCTACATCAAGAGACCCCTATTGCACTGCTCATAAGGTTACTGAAAATTCTCCGGCAGCCCACGACTGGTTTCGCCCTTCTTGGGGCGCGATTCCCGTCAACCTCATGTTCTACTGGAAACCAAATTGCATGAAATTAGCGAACTACACTCATTTGCGAACAGATAGGGTTCTGAGAGAGACTCGTCTGTCACCCAGCTGAATCCCTCGTTTGTGATGTGTATCCTGTGTTCTGCCCGGTCGCGGGCTGTCGAGGAATTTTCAGCAGCCTTATGATTACTGCATTACGTATATACATGTATCGCGATATCCCGAGTATGATGTGACCTGAAACATGAGGCGGCCTGGTACAACACCTTCGGTTGCCTGGAAACATCACAAACTAGAGATTTAGCTGGGTTCCCGGTGTCTCTCGCAAAACCAAATTTGTTTGCAACCGAGTGTATTTCGCTAAGACAAATACTTCTTTTACCTTGAAGTGTGCACAAGCGCACAGGGTTCTTGAACTTGGAAGCGAAATTACATCCTTCAGTCAGCTCACAGTCACAGGGGAGAAGTGCATATTATCCATCCGGAGTTCGTCAACTGAGGAGGCGCTGAGGAAAGCATGCCTAATAGGGATCACATTTGGCTAGTCAACCAAACAACTGACTTTTTCTACACTACCCATCGTGTTGCCGGAAACTCTTCGACAGCCTCTGGGCTCATCAGTGTTGCTGGAAACTCTTCGACAGCCTCTGGGCTCATCGGGTAGATGCAACCTCCGAGGTTCCGCTCTACTCAAATCCAAACTAGACGCGATTCACGAGATACACTCATTTGCAAGCTATTTTTTGAATGAGAGACCACCAAATTTCAGTTGAGTCTCGTTTATGATATTCAACTGAATCCGTTGCAGCTTCTGGCTGCGCATGTCTGGTGATGCTACAACTGGACATACTGAGGTGAACCATCGGGCGGATGAGTATATCCGATGATGCCTCGGATGTCATTATGTACCGATTAGGCAACATTCATGACAGCAACCGTAACACTGATATTGTTATAAGTACTGATTATTATCGGGCGAATGAGTATACTTGTCAGGTACATCCGATTATGCCTCGGATGTCCTTAAGTACCGATTAGGCAACATCCATGACAACAACCTTAACACTGATATTGTTATAAGTACTGATTAGGCAACACCCATTACAGCAAGCTCAACACTGATATTGTTATAATTACCGATTAGGCAACGCCCATGACAGAAAGCTCAACACTGATATGGTTATGGTTTTCGGGGCTGTGAGCGCGGAAGTGGGTAGGCATAGTCCTGCCAAGCCTGTGTTAGGTAAACCTTGTACTGAAACCGACAGGGCGGCCGCAGTTGTGTTGATCGCAGACTCTCTGGAGCACCAACTTCCAAATCAATCGAATCCACCTGTCCAGATGTCTCCCGAGTACAAGCCAGCCTTACAGGCGCAAGGTTCACACCACCATCAGATACAGCTGAAGCAACTGGTGACTGTAGCTCGTTCTAAGACCATCAAATAAGTTATGACACCATGCTTGTCCGTTACTGTTCTTTACAGCTTTTCTGGACCCAAGTGTCTACACGACCTGCTTGTAAGAAGCCCTCAAACTACAGTGCGAAATAGCATTTCCAAAACCGCCTATTACCATCGAAGCTTCCATATGACTGGAGCGAATCCCACATGTCAAGCAAAAAGGAGTATCCGTGCTGATCGAGCGGCCCGATATTTGAAGGCCAAAGCATCGGAGCAAACGAGAAACTTTGAGATTGTTTCAAGTAGTAATTCGAGCAAAAGGCCCAAAAAATGGCTGATGGGGAAGGAAATTCATGGCAAGAATGGCTTGCTCGTTAGGCAGGACTTTGGACAAAAATCCAATTAACCACCCGCTATCGTTTGGTCCGACCTCAGTGGAACAATGAATGTGTAACATCCAACGCCAACGAAAATATGCGCATGCCATTTCCTCCACCAATCGCCACCGAGCTGCTGATTCTGACGAAGTTCCATGCACTTGCGTACCTTATTTATTTCTGTCTTAAAGGACCTCTCATGGAGACCTCTTTGAAGGGGAATCTCGGTATTACTTATTTTACAAAAAGCCTCTACTCCAGGCTGAATTTCAGAGAAACCTAATTGAAACAAACAATGAGTAGAAGCTGGCTATCATGAGTCGACTGGAATTAGTGGTCCCGGCATACCGTTGAGGTAAAAAACCGTCATACAAAAGAATAAGTGTATTGAATCGAGTGGAGCGACAGGCCTTCCTCATGTAGAAATAACTTCGCTCGTTGGCACTGCAGGAATAGGTAGGAGAGCTAGGTCGTCAGCTAGAATTACTTCGCCATCAAAAGGAACCGATTTCGCCTCCTCCAACAGGATTTGGAGGCTGGGTTTTTCCTTTTCACTCGACTTCACTGTGCCATTGCCTGTAAGGAAGAAGAGTGGGAGTAGCAGTGAATAATTAATGTGCAGATAACGAAACCGTATCCGGTTTAGTCATGTTCACAGTTCTAAACCAACCGACAAAGCAATTTCGTGCCAAAACATGTTCACGTATTTCTTTACTCGTAAGGTTGCTGAAAATCAGCAACCTCATGAGTAGTACATTACAAAGATATACATGTATCGCGATATCTGGAATATCATAGCGACTGAAACATGAGGCGGCCTGGTGCAGCACATTCAGTTGCCTGAGAACATCACGCATGAGAGATTTAGCTGGGTTCCAGGTGATTCGAAAAACGAAATTAGTTTGCAAATGAGTGTATATTCGCTAATGTTCACGTACTTTTTGCTCCAAAAGAACCGGCTGTTCTGTGAGTTGAATTATCAATCCAGGAATAAGTTACAAGAGCTGTTATTCTTCTTTAGAGGGAGATTCTTTCCTGCAGAGACATCCGAGAGTAAAGACTACAGATGAGGACAGTAAAAAGTGGTATTGTCTTCACGTCGATAGAGCGGGTTCTCCTAAATATGAGGAGCATTTGCCCCCCGCCATATTTACGTATATCGGATGATCTATTTTGCTGCACGCAACCACCACATGGATACACTGGTCCCTCCCAAAGAGATAAAATGTTCAGACGAATCTTTCCGACAGAAGTGCCGAGGACTACTTATTAATGCGTGACATACATACATATGATTAATATTTTAAATATAATTAGGGTTTTATTGTCCCATCTTGCTTTGATAGGACGCATGGCCTTGGTCTTATCGGCGAAGAACAAGCAGCCCAACTGTAATACTGCCTAGTTCTAATATCATGGGTCGAACGGGTAACGGGGTGCTTTCCGTCACGACATATCGCTTGATGTATGTAAAGCCGTCCATTTTGCCTTATGTGGAGGACGAAACGAGGTCAACATCACTGTGTTGTTTGTGGCGGGTTGTTTATGCTGCAAATATGGAGTTCTTCAAGCTCAATACCTACAGAATCTTGTCATCACGGTTCACATCGCAACAAAAAGTGTTCTAACGTTAGATTGAGGCTTTCCGTGAAGGGTTAGTATTGTTTTATAATTTCTGGAACCAACAAAACTGTCTCCCTCTTTGAGTTGTTTCACAGATGGAGGGGAAAGGTACTTTAATTCGAGTACAGCGGTTCCTTGTATGGGGAGAAAATCATGACCTGAGAAAGTATGCTTGAGAGAGAGGAAATACTCATACTGGAGGTGATTGTACAGCCGTAGTATTTCGAAGCATCTGTTTACCTATTAACAGCAGACATCTTCGTGGAGGATGAAGGCGATACACGTAAAGGGTTGATTAGTACACGCTTTCCTGAAAGACTCATTTCCATAGCACTAGCTTCTGAGTCTCGTTGCGTCATTAGCAAGGGTTTGGATAACTATATAGATATTTGATCGCCCCCTCCCAAAAATGGTCAACCTCTTCCCAATATGCAGTTAGCCTTTCGCAGGAGGTAATTTTGGTGGAACAAAGATTTAGATGACAGAAAACGTGCAATAAGCGACAAACCACCCAAGATGCAAGAGCTCGCATAAGAAGCAATTAAACCCTTCCTCAGTGCCCAGGAAAGTTGCATCCTTAATCGAAAGTACGTGGAGATTTACCGCGTTTCAGAGACAAAAAGGGTAGCGATATAGCGATATACATGGTTACTGAAACTGGCAGAAATGGTCCAATCGGGTAGTCAGTGGAGCCACCGGCTTCAATGTTTGTTCGTATGTCCCACACTGTCCCACTTTTCGGTGATTGGAAACTGTAGCAGTTGGAACCAAAGTGACCATGGTACACGGTTTATTACTGACACGTTGAGTTGGATTGACATAGCACAGCAAAGCGGAGACGTGCTACTTATTGGATGGAACTCAACCGATAATTGCACACTGATTGACCTGAAAAGCTGGAGTAACTATGCGAGTTCGCTGTGGCCCTGTTGCTAACGGCGTTGCGTGGTAGTCAGTGAGCCACCGGCTTCAATGTTTGTTCGTATGTCCCACACTGTCCCACTTTTCGGTGATTGGAAACTGTAGCAGTTGGAACCAAAGTGACCATGGTACACGGTTTATTACTGACACGTTGAGTTGGATTGACATAGCGCAGCAAAGCGGAGACGTGCTACTTATTGGATGGAACTCAACCGATAATTGCACACTGATTGACCTGAAAAGCTGGAGTAACTATGCGAGTTCGCTGTGGCCCTGTTGCTAACGGCGTTGCGTGAGCCACAAAGTTCTGCTCGTTCTACGAACGCAACCAAGGCGAGGCTCGGACAGACTTCAGTATGGCGGGTGACTGGGATTGTGAAATTGACCTGTGAGTGGACGAACTTCGTTGCTGCTCCGGTAACCTGATTACGGGAGGCTGTTCGGCCATCGCGATGACATGTGGCAGGTGTGTCTCTGGCTCGGGGTCTGTAATGGATGCGCTCATACCCGAGACCAACAGTCAGAAGCATGTATTAGCTGTGTAGTCCTTTTAACTAACTCCGGTTGATGAAAGACGAAATCTTTGCCGATGTACGGGCCGAATCCCACCTCTCAACTTTAGTTGTTGGTGGAAAAAGCATGTTTCAACCGCCGTCTGAAGTGCGTGGCTATTCAATCCCCAGACCATAGGTCGGTTGTACATGTGAGATGAGTGCGACCTCGAAAGTTTAGTTCAGTCGACGGAAAGTACAGTCCCTGAGCAGTGCCCGTTATGTTTGCGCCGAAAAAATGGACATGTGAGCTAAATATGACTTCAGCGCACACTTTGGGGTGGTGGAAAGTGTGTTAGTGGCGTAGCTCCCGTGAGGCGTTTGTTGGGTAAACAGAAGTCACATCTATTAAGTGACACGTTTGCGTCGAGACGCGCGTCTTGCGTGTTCTTACATGTGAATTATGGCGAAATGTATACCCCAAGATACGCCTCATAGGCGTAAGACCGATTTTGGATGGTACTGCGAAAGATGTTTGGAACATGATTGTACAAGCCTGTTAAGTGAAGAGTTAACGTGTACTATGTGTGGGTAGTTTGTGGCGTTTTGGCAGACCATCCTCGAGTCTCATCCAAGTGCATCGCAAGTGAACGCATGATGAGCCATTTACCTTGCGTCGTATTAGGACGTCCAACTGGGGTGTATCGGTGACTGAAGTGTGTCAAAACGAGCAACCGGGCTTTTAATTGAGCAGCCAACTGAACGACCGGTGTGGGGGTGGAATGACCTTTGGTGCGTGCTTCTTCTCTCATGCTATCTTGTAGCGTGGCCTCATGTACCAAAACATCGAGCGTTGGCTGTGAAATTTTCCTTTTGTCAGCCAGTCGCAAAAGCAAACGCTCAAGCGCACTGGAATCGTAAGAGTCCCCCATGATGGCGATACGGTGTCCTCGAACAGCGGTCTTCAGTACTTGAGCTGGATAGACTGTTTGGCCATTTATAACAACCGGTTCACCCTGTGTTAACGAAAGAAAGGATGATGGGAAAGGTTACTAGGTTGGAATCAATATAAGATCATGAGGATTTTGATATAAAGACAAAAGACGCTCAACGCAATCGCACCTTTTTGAGTTGCCCCATCAATGGACCGTCAGGTACTCCCAACATTCGGGCAGTTTCTACACACAGTGCAGGGGGCTTGGGTGGATGCACTATAAGCCACCCAAGTGATGGAATTGTGTGTGACAGGGCCATAGAGTGAACTGAAATTCCCATATCGTCCGGGCGATTGATATTATACCAGAACCCTATGTAAAGAAATTAGCGGGAGTACACATGACAATGGGAACTGAGAACAGTCGCTTAAAAGCAGTCTAGTGCGGAATTAAAGACTGGTGGGCTAGACAACAAAAACGACGATAACTCAAAACAGAGGTGATAATTATCCGCCGCAAGTCGAAATGGTACAAACTGACACAACTCTCACCTAAACACTCGCTAAAATGCGCATAACGTGTTCAACCACTGTTGTACAACATTTGAGGTAACGAGGATCGCGCACTTCGATTATTCCTCTGGAATCGCAGCGGCATTATCGTGCCAGAAAAACGGCATTTCTATATTAATAATCGGAGTATTGAAAATAATGGAATCATCATATGCTTTGACAGGGCCTTCTCACCTAGTTTGCTGTGTTTCCTCTCGATGCGCACCCTAACAACACCGCCCATGGACACAAGTAGATGCACAGTGGAGTGTGATCGTTCATAGAAACTCAAGCAGATTGTTCAAATGCCACTTACTCCAAAGAGCCAGCTGCTATTTGAAACGGTGTTTACATTAGCTTAGCTCCCATGTAGTTCATCTTAATTGACCATTTTTACCATACTTTATTAGCTACCACCGTTTTGCTATTTCCAGATGTGTACAAGTTTCGTCTTTCGATTTCTGTGCGTTCTCCATGTCACCGCCTTATCACACCAGTCTTGTTATCGCCAACAGTATGCTGGTCGTCGCTACATACCGCCGCTCAATCGCTCAGCTGAGTATTTCCATGAGCACACCAGACTGCACAGTGAGATGGAACGTGGTAAGTGAAGTTGACGAAATCACATGAAAAATGCGTGATGTTGTTTCACGCAGCCTTTCAGTGGAAAGACACTTTTGGTATTAACACACCTAGGGGGACAAGCGCACCTCAGCTAGGATCCATCTGTGCAATATTTTACGAAAAATGTCCAGTTCACAATTTTGAGGGTAAGCCCAGTCCCCCAAACGGACGTCAACCTATGCTGAAAAGCTGAGAGGCACCAGACAATTGTTTCATTCTGATTGGGAATCAACGCCGGTTTGAATCTAATGAAATTCGAAGATCTCCTTATACTAGTGACAAAGTTACCTACTCGCAAAGGATAAAAAGCTTCGTGGGTCTCATGAGAACGCGACTCGAGAGACCAGTCAACACGCGCGTCATATTTTGTTCCATAGCAAGCGAACCACATCGTTGATAAACTACCCAAGGGCGAACGGTTTGGTGTTCGTTCATGAGTGGGGTGGTGGGGAGGGGGACTAAAATCTCACCAGAGATTGGTGGTACGCACACTTCTACAGGATTACGAATGCGAACAAAACTGAACCCCCTGACAGCTTTTAAGTATAGACTGACGCCACTTTTGGGAAGAAATCACCATTGGAATCTAACAACTTTCATACTGGAGACAATCTCAAAATTGCCGATGCCAAGTCGGATAAGTTTCTTCTCGATCAGTTTAAGAAATAGCTTATATTGTGAACTTCTACCGAGCAAGCGGCTTCAATGAAACTTGATAACAACACTAGTAGTCAAAAAGGCTGAATTTGGGGAGCACATATTGTGTCTGCCTAAGCTACTGAGTGAGGGCCGGTTGATAAACTGAGGATGTTGCGATGAAAGGCAACAGACTATGCAAGAAATGGTCTTACATAATACTAAAAAGATGGCAACGTGGGCACCTCTGACAAACTCTTACACAGTGGATTCACAACGCATTAGATCTCGGAAAATAAAAAAAGCCAAGTCTGACGGGGCTAAAGACATAAATTTAGAGCACGACTCCAATGAGTTGCTGGCTTCTAAGGCCTGCTCCCTGTGCCCTCGGGTTTGGAAAGTCAAGTGGGACATACTTTCAAGTTAGTGGCTCCGATGGTCCTGTCATCCATCAGCTCCAACCCTCATTGCTTTACCTACCAGGGTAATCATACCTGTTGCCAAAATTAGACATTCGGTAATTCCACAGCCCTCTGCAGAAAATACAGTATCAAAATCGATCACTAAGCTGGAGTCCCCCGGACGCAGCTTATGTCAGACAGCGCAAACATTATTTGATTATACTCTCCTCGCCTAACACTGATGTACGCTGCCTCGGAACACTCCACTAGCAACAATAAATCTCAGAAGAACCCGAGTAATCTATACCCTTTCACAGCTTAGTCTCCGAATTTTCAGTGATCCAGTGTCGTCACCATGTGGTCTCAGTGATGGCACTAGGACCGAAAAGCTCTGCTTAACTGGATTTCTATGGGTAAAAGGCGTTCAGCTGAAACACCCTTCCGGTGCCTAGCTGCCATGCCACCCGAAGGAAGCACGAGGGCTAGGATATTGCCAGGTTGCTCAAGCCTAGACAGGGGAAGTCGAGTGGCGGAGGTCGGATTCGAACCACGAACCTTCCGGTCCGTAAATTCGCGCTCTAACCACTTGGGTACCTGAATATGTGCAGGCGAGCAAAGACACGTAAACTGTGCTTCATATCTTAACATACTCAATCCAATAAATTAGTGACAACGTGAACTATCTAAACTCCCATACTACTCCACAGTATGAAGTACATGAAAATCACGATTGGCGTATTGAACATCCAGATTAAAAGTAATGAATACATACGCGTCTTTGCCAACGACAGAAATAGATGCTCTCAGAGCCGAGAATAGAGACTGCTTCATATAACTGTGCACTCGCCATCTATTTGTCGCAGACACGAGTATTGCGTGCCATCTGGCGTCTTCTAAACCGCAACAACCTGAGGAGCCAAGTTAGACACGTAGCGATTAGCTGTCGGTGACGACCGGAAATCTAAGGCAAGCGTTCATTTTGAGACATTCGGAAAGATCCGAACTATGGTTTGACGTATGCTTATATATCGGCGCTGAAAACGAATCATCAATTAAATGCTGAGCGTCCGAAAGACCAACTAAGATCGTCCTAACAGGCCCCTCCCGGATACATGACTCGGTCGACTGGTTCATCCGAAAATGAAAACGCAAGAAAACCTAATTTGGGCCTCAAAGTGTTCCCCATAAACGAATGAGGCGAAGAACTCTATATCTCCTGAGTGATAAGGTTCGAAAAAAATGAAATCTAAAACAGCAGTTAGCTCATGCCAAGTAATCAGTAGAATTAGTAGATAGAAAAGACTGAAGGACGGGAACTATAAACAACCGAATATTATCCCAACTTATCCGCATCAGCGCAATGGAAAAGCCAGCAATCAGTGATGCGGTTGCGGAGGGCGATGAATTCATTTGCTGTGATGGTCACAGCAGTACGGAGAATCATTTAGCTAGCTTCCCTTCCCGAAAATTCTTATCATTTGCTGTGATGATCAGAGCAGTACGGAGAATCATTTAGCTAGCTTCCCGCATCCAGCTTGATGATAAACATCATAAGTGTTTCAGGATGGGAGAGAAATCGCTCAGTACGACCGGAAGATGAAGCTCCAAACGAACTCAAACCCGGTCCAGACTGTCTCCGTTTTACCCTACCTAAGGGTGGAAGGCTCATTCACTGGCTGATAAGACTCCCGCCGACAGAACATCTAAGGCATTTCGAAGAAACATTGGGATGAACATCACCTCCAGACTACCAAGGAGCAACATTCTGCGCTCGTCGGTACGCATTACAATCACTGTCATGAAAACTTAGTAGGGCAAGTCTTAGTCAGAGGTGAAAAGCCGAAGCGAAATGGACAGAACGCCGTAGAAGGGGAAGCGCACCTCACTTATACACGCAACATCAGGCCATCGGTATCCACAAGTTCGCAAGGTGCAGGTGATGATGATTTGGGGGGGGATAGGTAGCTGCGCATTGCAGGCGGGAGCTGATAAATAGGTGCATAAATCCAGCACTGTCAGTAGACTGTCAAGTGGGAGGGGGGTTGGAAACGAGCTATGCATTGAAGGCAATAGCTTGGATGCGCGAGCGCCATTGAGGATGCGACTGGGCCATATCTGACAATGTCTCTAGCCATTGATGTGGCCCGTCTCGGGGTCCCCCTCCAGGAAGACGGCAGTGACCAGCGCAGCTGAGTTTGCTGGTAATGGCTTTCATCCTTCGCTGCCAAGTCATTGTTTGACCGCCTCTGGCTCTCTTCCACCCTTCACAGGGTTGGGCGAAAAGAACCCTTCGAGGAAGTCGGTCGACTGGCATACGCAGCACGTGGCCAAGCCAGCGCAACCTGTGCAGTGTGATTAGTTCATCTATCGAGGGTGAGTTATTCCTCCCGAATACCATTCGACGTACTTCAGCATTGCTGATCCGGTGTTCCCACCAGATTCCGGCAATGCTCCGAAGACATCGATGGTCAAACACTGAAAGTCTTTTGACGTCCTCGGCGCGCAGCGGACAGGTTTCTGATCCATATAGTAATATGGAGCGCACCGCAGCATTGTAAACTCGACCCTTGACAGAGAAGCTGATGTCACGCCTACGCTACAGGTGAAGTAGGTTCGCAAAAGCTGCTCTGGCATTCCCAATCCGGATGGAAATATCATCTTTCGCGAGAATGCGAAAGCATTCCATTCAGGAAATTGCCAACGTGCACTTCCGAGTTTGTGAAGGGACTATGAGTTAGGTACATGTTCAAACGGTGCTCATGACTGCTGAAAAAATAAAACACCGATCAATATTTGTTCTATTGGCCTTGAAATAGAATCACAGAAAACCGTAGACATTCAGCCAAAATAATTGACCAGAAAATCATTAGAGTACGGAAGACAGGAGTCAGTCTGAATTGGCTTCACCCAAGACCTCCAAGTGCTTGCACATTGACCCAATGGGACGCGGCTCACTTCCATGGGAATCTGCAAACCAGATTAACTGAAATATCGTGCACACTAGCCTATACAGATTTTATAAAACGGGCGGCATATACACAGCCATTCGCGCGAAGGGCTTAAAGTGTGTCCCGGAAACTCCGATGTGACCAACGCTGTCGTGCGTGTTCAGAAGTGATAAAATTGATGGTGTAAGAAACAGCGGCCCTACCTTACTTGACCTCAAATTTACATCAACAGAGCATTGAGGATACCGAAGTATTGCATACAGTCGGATTATGACGAAGGCTGACAGAGCGAATGAAAATAAACAATTTCCCTGGGAGGTTTGCGTTAACAAGTTACGGATGGTATTCCTTGAGTACATTTGTTTGGAACATCCACCAATGAAAACACAAAAAGACCGCCTCAGAATCACGATCGTACACGTATGTTCAGGACTAGTAGGTCCAAACGATTCACCTTATATTCTTGTAACAAATGTCTTGAGTTTCAGTGGCTCAAAGCCAAAAAACTGCTCTTTATTCCAGTGGATGCTGTGCGATTTTTACTGATTGCCTGATAACCCGTGAGTCATATACGAGCGGCACGCTGAAAAAGAAGGACAAGCAACTGCTAGTTTAGTCATTCACTAAATGATTTGTTCAGTGAAAGGGGTGGTGTTGACATGCGGAATTTCAGGCAAAACTTGGTGTACATCGTACACAGCAGAGAATGGCTACTTAGATGGACTGAAGCCGGACCTGTAAGTGTCCCAGAGGACGAATTACGTTATAGTGAACCACCGTGCATTCTCATAAGTGATTAATCACGCAGCTTCTGCTGTAATCTGTATGCCGGACCACATGATGACCGTACAAATTAATTTAACGTGCAAAGTGAGCTTCCAGACATGGGTAACTGGACGTAATGGTCTGAGAGCACCAAGAGTGATTGGACACATGAACGCTCTAATTTGAACCATATACATAAGAATGGAGCGAAATTAAGTGCTCACCATCTGAATCTGCATGGATATCTCGCCCTGGTCGTTCGCAGTGGAGGGGTGGATCACGGATTGGATCAGCCTCTAGGTAGCACCAGTCTTCCCAACCCGCAGGACGATGTTCGTCACGCAAAATAAGTTCATGGACAGCGTACGTGTAGTTCATATGAGACCTATCAGATTGGAAGGATGCATATAAATGAAGAATCGGTACAGAATAAATCACGGCTCTCAAATCATTATAAGACCATGCGATGTAAGAATGATCCCATTATAAGTAACTGTTTAAGTACAGCTATTAATTTTTATCGTTCGTTACTGATGTGCACCGGAGATGGCTTGCCGTTTCACTTGCTGATACCATCAAGTCGCACTGAGAATCCTCTAAAAGACGTATTTTCCTGCACACTAGGTTTACTTGGACCTAAACAGTTAACAATGCCCTTGGGGTAACCGTATTAGTGCTGGATTGATTGTAGAATCCACACGAGAGGATTCCAGTGGTGCTCAAGGTCTCTGTTTTGATTTTCAATAATCACATGTGAGATTCAGTTGTGTGTGAACTGTGGCAGCCTCCACGGTAGTCTAGTTGGTGAAACACCAGTCCGGTTAGGTTCCGTCCCCCAATATCTGTCATTCGGCCTGTAGCGGACATTTCCATGTCCCCTCAACCAACTTCACTTAATTTGTCCAGTACATGGGTGTTTACTAGATCCCACGACTTACCTGCTACACAAGCACACAAGTCACGTGACAAACG